TGGAATGTGTTGCTTGTCTAGTTTGTAGGCTCCTTATATAGCTCTCGAAAAAAATTGTGAAGTCCCACTTATGGTAGACTGACAAGCACATATAATTATGATTTTTATGGTTTAGTCAAAAAATGATTGAAATTAATTGAACAAAGAGAAGTATAAAAAAACACCCTCAAATTTGGGGCAGAGCGAACTACTGACAAACTTAAAAACCTTTATACTTGATGAATTAGGCTTAAATACTCGCCTTCCGTGTTACATGGCATAGCAAGTGATTACACTTCTTTTTTAGTGCGTGAAAAAGGTTAGAAAAATGCCACATCAGACTTTTTTGTTTTGTTTTTTTAATTCTATTTTGTCCTTCAATTTTTAGTTTCCAATGGCTACAATACTCTTTTTCTTCCTATTTTGGTCGGGAAGAGAGGTGAGATGCTGAACTATACCAAACGCCTCTAATTTTTATTTCTTTATGTTAATTTTTTATTAAATTAAAGAAATAAAAAAATCCTTTTATTTTTATTTTTTCAATTTTATATATATATATACTACATCAGTATAAGAAAATCCACATGTAGCGTGTGAATGACACATTTTTGTGTATGGAATGGGAGGGGTGTATTTAAGCTTAGTTCGTCAAATATTATAGAGGTATTTTTAAGTCTATTAATATTTCGGAGATGAAACCAATAATCTGCGCCAAGTTTGAAGGTGTTTTTAATACTTCTCTCTTGAACAAATTGATATTTATTTGAATTTTTCGATACAATTTTTTTTTTTGAATTGGTTATTTGATATTTAGGCCCATCAATCCCTTAACTATTAAAGACTAGAAAATTAATCAAAAGTTCTATTTATTGAGTAGTTTTTTTTTAAAAAAAAAAAATCCCAAAATAATAATAATAATAATGTGTTTCCCAAATAGATAAATATTATGGAAGGTGGGCTAATGGTAGCGATATGAGATGATGGGGTGGGGGATACACATAATTATTGTAGAATTTTATTTATAAAACTTATTTTTCCGATTTTCACTGGGAATAAAAAAATTGAAAATTATTACTGAACCGAACACACCATTAGTCTTTTTCAAGCAAATTGCTGTGCTTCCTTATGGTGCCAGGCCCCCACATAAACAGTATCAACACAGGTTGCTCTTTAACCTTGTAAGCATAAGGCTGTCAAAATTAGTCCATATGATTTGTCATGTCCAATCCGTTTAAGTTTGGACGGGTAAGTTAATGACCCTTCTCAAATTCAGCGTATCAAAAAATTAGATCAATTTAGACTAAATATGTAGTTCAAATTAACTAATCAGAGGTCTCATTAGATTCGAGCCTAGGAATAATGTATTAGGGAAAGCTAATTATATATATACCCTTTCAATATCGTGAATTCAATTTAAATATTAGATGGTCAATAGATTTCAAATAATGTGTATTTAGATTAGTTAGGCCAATAAATTTCAATAATGATCAATGCTTGAAGGACTTAAAAACTAAAATAGCATGCATATTCAAAGAAAAGTATCATGAAATCCTAATAATAGATAAACTATGGTTTTGTTAAAAATAATCTATTGGATGTCACAATATATACTAACGTCAAATCCATTTTCATGTTTTCCTAAGAATCATAATTATATTAATTTTTAAATCCATTATATCTAAAAACCTTACATAAGTTGTTTATGCTTCTTACATAATGACAAGATCAAAGCGGAAGTCTTAGCGTAACTGATAAAATTAATCATTGTCATGTGATTAGGAGATTATGAGTTCGAATTACGAAAACAGTCTTCTACAGAAATGTACACTACTTGCAATAGACCCTTTTGAATCAAAAACTTAGTGCATCGAACTGCCTTTTTACGGAACGACATGATCAGGACCACCACTACACTAACTCTAAAATCAAAATGAACTTAGTAGGGGCCTCCCTATTTTTAGGCTCTCAAATAACCACTAAAATCCATCAAACATCTCTATATATCTGACATAATACTAGTGGATGAATGACTATATATATAAAAAAGGTCATCTTGAAGATGACACAATATATTAAACAGTAGTACACATCCATGTGAAGAGAAATTTCAAAATTTTAGATCTAGTAACTTGAGAATGAGAAAATAACTGTAGCCATAATAGATAGGTCTATGATACATAGTATGATTCATTGAACATAATGTAAAGGCTTAAGTTATCTGCGGCTAGGAGTGTACAAGTCAAATCGTAAAGTCAAACCGAATCGATGAACCAAATCAAACCGGAAAAAAAATTTGATTTGTGGTTAGGTTTGTGAGAAAATAACTGTAGCCATAATATATAAGTCTATGATACATAGTATGATTCATTGAACATAATGTAAAGGCTTAAGTCATCTGCGGTTAGGGGTGTACAAGCCAATCATAAAGTCAAATCGAATCAACGAACCAAATCAAACCGAAAAAAAAAATCGATTTGTGGTTTGTTTTGGTTGGTTTGGCGGTTGAAAAAAAAACCGACCACTCTTGGTTTGGTTTGGTATTAAAAGAAAAAAAGTCAAATCGAACCCAAACCAAACCGACATAATATATATATATATATAAAAAAAAAAAATATTTATAGATAAAAATATTATTTATAATCTACTTTGTTGATATATTTTTAGTTAGTTTATAGTTTTCAATGTTTATATATTTTATTTCAAATTTGGGCTTGTAAAATTTTGTAAATATTATTATATATAATTTTATTTTATTTATAGATAAAAAAATTATTTATAATCTACTTTGTTAATATTTTTAGTTAGTTTATAGTTTTCAATGTTTATATATTTTATTTCAAATTTGGGATTGTAAAAATTGTAAATATTTTATTTTATATTAAGATCCGAAGTTACAATTATATTGTTATAGTTTTTCAAATTCAAAGTTAACAATTTACTTTGTAAATATTTTGTTTTGTTTTCAGTTTGCCTCTAGCCTTTAATCTTATTAATTTAACATAATGAACGTTAATATTTCAAAAAAAACATTTTGTACTCATATGAATTTTACCATCTTTTCAAAAATTTATATTCATTTAACATTTTTTAAATTTAGCTTATCACACATGTAAGTGAAAAAATATTTGATCTCTTTTTCAAATACCGTATAGTTGTAAAAAACCGAAAAAAACCTAAAGAACTGTTTAAAACCAAAACCGAAAAACCCAAGTTTATGTTGTTTGATTTGATTTTTAGATTTAATAAACCGACATAACTAATTCAAGTTTTTTTAATGAAAAAACAAACTAAATCGATCTATGTACACCCTATAAAACCCACCCACCAAACACTCTTCCCTTGTTCCCCATCAGAACCAATCCACCCGCCATTTCTTTTTCTTCTTCTTTTGTATGAACAATGGCAAAATATTGAGATTCAAAAGTAAACAAAAAAAAACTTTAATAGTAACATTGTAAATCAACTATGAAAGATTTAGATTAAAAAATAATTAAAAAAGAAATAAATTTTGAGAGTAAAATAATGCTTCATAGATCGGAACATTAATTGTAGAAATGATGGCGGCGACGATGGCAACGGCCGGAGAAAGTGGTGGTAACCAACGCAAGGAAGAAGAAAGAGATTTTTTTAATTTAAAAAATGTCTGATTATATGTTTTCATGTGCTCATCAGCGGTGAATCACACTCAAAGTGCCAGGTAGGCAAAAAGTGCTCAAGTGGTATCAATTCAATATTACATAGGTGTTCAATAGGTACAAGTCTCAGTTAAAGTATTCAAGTGAAATATGCAGACAACTTTAAGGGACCGCAGATAACTTAAGCCTAATGGAAAATACAACTTATCAATTTCATATAGAAATGACTTTCTATAAATGAAATGGTGTCATATCATCACCTAATTTGGAAAGATTCTTAGTTGCAGATATAATTTTGCTCAAAAGAGAAATAAGACAGTAAACTGTTAAATGGTAGTTGATACAATGGAAAGTACTAATAATAGAGGTCAACTAGACCCTAAGAACTAGGTAGCTCACGAGGCGACTATTGTGCAAGTCCATATAAGAAGAGAACTGAACACTGTGGTGCTTGTACTAATAATAGGTGTTAAATCAACCTCAAGGACTAGGTAATTAGTTCATGAGGCGAGAATTGTGCAAAGTCATATAAGGAGACAATAATTCACTACATGAACAAATGTTATGTAGGATAATGTAACACTCTCGGACCCACGCACCCAACTTTTGATATAGTGATAACTCATAGGGCGAGTACTGCACAAGGCCATAAAAGGAGACAATAGCTTATCAACTCAACCAATATAGGACAATCTAACACTCTCTGCCCCACACACCCAACTCTTGATATAGTGATAACTCATAGGGCGAGTACTACACAATGCCATATAAGGAGACAATAACTTACCACCTCAACCAATATAGGACAATCTAACACTCTCGGCACCGCACACCCAATGCTTGATATAGTGGAAAGTACTAATATATTAGTATATGTTAATTAAATCAACTCCAAAAACTAGATAGCTCATGAGGTGAGAATCGTAGAAGGTCATATAATGAGACAATACCTTAACCAATGTAGGACAATCTAACACTCTCAGCCCCGACATCTAAAGAGTGGGCCCAAATATCAGATAAATCAAGAACACATATAAGTTCAACTTTGATACAATGTTAAGAACATCGACATTGAGCCTAACTCAATCTCAAATCTAACTCATAACAATAGGTGAAATTTTCCTCTTCAATAAATAAAAAAAAGCCAATATTTGATCATATATTTTCCATTTGCAAACAATAAAAACATGATAATCCTTGACCACAAATGCCCAACATTGACAATGACATCTCAAATATTCCTCTATATATTCTCTTCACCACCTTATTTCTTAATCCACTCAAACAACTCTCTATACTATCACAAAAAAAAGAAGGCAAAAACATCTTTCTCTTTGTTCCCTCAACTACCATTTTTTTTTCTCAATACATATATTGATAAAAAAAATGAAGTCACCAACCCAATTTTTCTTTATTCAAAAGCATATACTTCTAAAATTGCTTATATTCATACTCTTCATTTGTTCAAACAATAAAAGTAACATATGTTGTAATCATCATTTTACTAACACTTCAAGTCTATCATTGAAACAACTAAAACTTGAAGGGTACCTTAGTTTTGAAAAACTAAATCATGCAGCTAAAGACTTTGGCAATAGATGTCATTTCCTTCCATTGGCAATTTTGTATCCAAAATCTGTTCTTGATATATCATCCACCTTAAAACATGTCTTCGAAATCGGTACTAGAACAGACTTAACTGTTGCTGCTAGAGGCAATGGACACTCTTTAGAAGGACAAGCTCAAGCTTATCAAGGACTTGTTATTAACATGAAATCACTTCAAGAACTAGAAATGAAGTTCAAGATTGAGGAATTGTCTTATGTTGATGTTTCTGCTGGAGAGCTTTGGATAAATGTCCTGCATGAAAGTCTTAAACTTGGGCTTGCACCTAAATCTTGGACTGATTATCTTCACCTCACTGTTGGTGGAACTTTGTCTAATGCTGGAATCAGTGGACAAGCTTTTAAGCACGGACCGCAGATCAATAACGTCTACCAACTCGAGGTTGTCACTGGTATGTTCGTGAACAAACGTTTGGATAAGCTTATAAGTCGATCAAACTAGCTTATAAACACCTTTTTTTTGGCTTATCTACGCGTCTGGTGTGCTTATAAACTAATCTTATGTTCTTTAGATTTCTAGCTAATTTGTGTGTCTTGCCTCCCCCGAATGATTGGTGCAATAGTTAGACATCCTCAGACGAAAAAATGGTCTTTCAAGATTGGTCGTTGTGTGTCACCTTTGACATCTGTCTTGTTGTAGGTAAAGGAGAGGTGATTACTTGTTCAGAGGAGCAGAATGCAGACTTGTTCCATGGTGTACTAGGAGGATTAGGGCAGTTTGGTATTATAACCAAGGCAAGAATTGCTCTTGAAACAGCACCAAAGCAGGTAGACATTGAACTCCCAAAACCAAAGAAGTAACATTACTTTAGGCCAAATAAGGACAATACCTATAGAACACTCCAACCTCATCCGTCATGTAACTTTCTGAGGTTGGAGCGTTCAATATGTACTGTCCTTAATCGAAATGAAAACTGGTGCCAACTTTGAGGCACCGTCAATAGAGGTTGGCTCCAATTTTCATTTTGACATATCAACTAACGTCAGTACCTATCAAACACTTCAACCTCATCCCCTGTGTGACTTTATCTAAGGTTGTGAGTGCTCGATAGGTACTAACCTTAGTTAAAGTGTCCGAAATGAAAACTGGTGCCAACTTTGAGGACCAAATGAAAAGAAAAGCAAGCTCATTCAGCATTGCTATAACTATTTTCTTCACAGGTCAAGTGGATCAGAGTGTTGTATTCAGATTTTGCTACATTTTCGAATGATCAAGAGAACTTGATATCATCTCAGAATACATTTGACTATATCGAAGGATTCGTCATCATAAACAGCACTGGATTATTGAATAACTGGAGGTCTACTTTCAATCCTAAAGATCCACTTCTAGCTAGCAGTTTTAGTTCAGAAGGCAGAGTTTTATTCTGTTTAGAAGTTGCCAAATACTTCAATCCAGAGGACACATACAGTCCTGATCAGGTAAAAAAAAAACATTAAAATCAGTAAACTTTTCCAAGTTTTGATAACTCAGTAAAATATTGACCTTGTTTGCTAAATATTACCACAGGACATTGATATACTCTTATCAAAGTTGCATTATATTCGATCAACGTTGTTCCTATCAGAAGTCTCCTACGTTGAGTTCCTCGATAGAGTTCATGTCTCCGAGATGAAGCTACAAGAAAAGGGGTTGTGGGATGTTCCTCATCCATGGCTAAATCTTCTAATACCAAAAAGCAGGATTCTTGAATTTGCACAAGAAGTTTTCGGGAAGATTCTTACTGATACAAGCAATGGTCCTATACTCATCTACCCTGTCAACAAATCAAAGTACTACATTCTTCACAACTAACAAATCTCTTGATAATACGCGTTTTCCTAACAATTATATATCTTGGATGATACAGGTGGAGAAAAGGAACATCAATGGTTACACCTGATGAAGATGTTTTCTATCTCATCGCGTTCCTGTCATCTGCTATGCCTTTTTCAACAGGAAAGGATGGAATAGAACATATTATGAATCAGAACAAAAGGGTATTAAGTTTTTGTGAAAAAACGCGTATTGGAATGAAACAATATTTACCAAATCACAAGACTCAAGAAGAGTGGAAACATCATTTTGGTTCTCAATGGGAAGCATTTACTAGGAGGAAATCTACATATGACCCTTTGGCAATACTTGCTCCAGGACAGAGGATTTTCAAAAGGAGAGCAGCCTGTGAACAACAATGACTTGGTACATATGAGTTTTTAGCTTAAGATGAATGACCACAAATGTACATTCTTGAGTGGGACGGGACGGGTTAAAATTTTGAGGTTTTAAGTTCTGCCACGTCCTATTGTCATCCCTAAATTACATGTTATGAAAAACTGGTTTTTAGGTGAAGAATTAGATAATCAAATGCACATTCTTAAGTGGTCAGGTGGTACTTCTATTTTTTATGACTAAATGAGAAGCAGTTTGTTTTCGATATTTCAATAATTCCATGCAAGGTACAACTGAAATATCGCCTCCGTTCTTGCTAAGTCATAATATGAGTGCTTATGTTCGAAAGGTACAACTGAAAAATCGGTTTGGTTCGGTTTTATGTGTTATTGGTTCGATTTATTGGTTTTTGATTTGTAACTACGTCAAACCGATAACCAAACCAATAACATATTTCTTATCGGTTTTTGGTTAATCGGTTTATGGTACTTAACGGTTCAATTTTCGATTTAACCAATAAGAAAATACTCATATATATTATATACCCGATAAGAAAAATTTCATATAAACCATATGATTTTTCCAGCATTTGGCATGAAAGTAATAATCATAAAAGTAACAATCATTTTTCTTGCAAGTTTAGACACTAGACACATTCAAAGGAAAAAGTGTGAAAGTAACAATCGTTTAACCATTAACAAAAAAGTGTGAAAGTAACAATCGTTTAACCATTAACATTAAGACTAGTAAATTTAGTATAGTCTTATTGGGTTATCGGTTTAACCATTAACAAAAATCATAAAATCAAAAACCGAACCAATAACCCAATAAAAAAATTTGCAAAACCGTTGGCCCAATAAACCCAATGTCAATAAATCAATAGTGTTTTTTTCAGTTCGATTTATTGGTTAAATCGATTTTTGCACACCCCTATCTAATATGAATACTATAGGAGAGTAGGGGTGTGGTAGAAAATAGGGCTACTCGGTAGAGGCAAAGATGAGATGTGTTGAAGGGTAGGAAGATGATCAATATGAAACGTCACTTGTAAACTTCTTTCCACATTTTTTGAACTTGTTTACTAGATGAAATGTTTTCCAAAATATTGAACCAAAAATAATGCATGCACATCTCCTTGTTAAGCACACTAGATTCTCTGTGTTGTCAACACCTTCAGAAAACCTATGGGGCTCTAAGCTATCACGAGTGGAAGAGTAAAGCATCACATGAAACATAATGTCTGGAAAACTCCAGCTAAAAACAAATTTGCTCGGGGCAAAACGAGTATAAAAATGCAGAGGCGTTCCACTTCCAATGGAGACAACACAAGATAGTGAAGAAATAGTTATACGAAACGATGTATAATTCATCATGTATATCAAAATTTCCTCCAAGGGAAATCCAGGCATTAAAAAAAACAAACATTCTTGAATATAAAGGTGTTAATCAGGTACGGGAGCAATGCAAAATTGGCACGAGCTTAATGTCTTCAACCAAACTATCTAGCAAGTTGTGTTTGTGCATGTTCGAGAAGCTGGCTGACTAATTTGTAAGTGCGTCCAGAAAGGGGCTTGGTGTGATCGATGAGCTGCTCATACCTGAACATGACAAGGCTCATAAACATCAGGTGTATGCTAAAATGGGTCAAAAACAAATTTGCATTGAACATTTCGATAAGGTACATCTGCATATAAACTTACACATTAGGCTGATTTGGTTCCATTGTAACTGTCCCAGTTTCAGTGTCGATCTTGGCATCAAGCTTTGAGGTCCTGATAAGATTCACTATCCATCGCTCTGCCTCCTCAAGGTTCAAGTTAAGTTTCTCAGCTAGAACCCTGCCATTTATGAAATGGAAGAAAATGGTTATTAAATGGGCACAACTCTGCTTTCTTAAGCAAAACTGCCCTGACAACATCCCCTCTCAATGGGTAACAAACAAAAGGGGTATACCTAATATTACAAAAAACTATGGGCAAGGGGAGTGGGAAGGAACCCCAAAATAGATCTTAGAAAGTGACTTTGAAGAATTAGCTACATACCCCATGTCAATGCGTTGGTGAATGCGGCAGTAGGTCTCAGAGATAAAAAGGCGAGCATTTTCAAGGAATTCATCTCTCAATAGCACAGAGGAAAAACTGCCATCTTCAGCTCTTTTTCCAAGGAATGGGTCATTCAATATTAGCTGCATATAGCATCCGTGTTAAAATGAGTAAAAAGAGCTGCATTTAACGGGAAGAGCTCTGTGGCTATACTAAAGATAAGGCTACGAGTATCAGAAACTAGTATGTCCAAGATCTACAAAACTTACATATATTTGCAAAGAGTCCTGCACCTCTACTTTCAAAACACATTCCTCACTTCATATATCATCTTAAAGCCAATTACAACTTATTTACAGAAAAGTTTAGTTTCTACTTCTGATATGCAAGAAATGAATCATAAAACTATGATGTGAGCATGCATCAAAGCAGATAAACTAGGGCGCAGAAGCTTACCTCTTCGCACTCCTTCATCTTCTCCTGTGCTCCATCAAAATCATAGTTGACGTAAATACATGCCAAAAACTCTGTGATGGGATCTTTGCAAGAGTGTTGCTCCTGCTGAATAACCTTTATAAAGTCCTTAAATTGAGGTCTTCTTCTCTTGTTGACAATAAATGCAATAGCCAAGTATCGCAGCAAGTGGGGAGCACTTGTTTGAATGGCATTCAAGTATCTGCAAGACTTCAATGATTTAGAAAAGCTCAAAGGGAAGAAGTAAATCCATTGCATACCAACAAAAGGAAAAATAACCGCTACTTTAATCGAGACGCATCAAGAAGAAATACCATCTTAATGTATGTTACCACAAAAGAAGAGCAATATAAATTTCAAACATTTTGAAATAAGAAAATTATATTTCAAACATAACTCTGCTGTATGAAAACATAAAATACAGTGTGTTTCTGACCCTCCAGATCATGTTTCCTTCCTTTTCATTTAGTTTTCAGGGCTCCATTTTCCCACTAAGGGAAAGAACCAGGTAATCGGAGCTTCCTAAAATATTTCTCTACATAATACTCTGAGGTGATGGTATCGGAAAAGATGCCTAGCTGAAACAAGATGGGGAAAGCTAAAATGAAGCAGCAACTGAAAACAATCATCTATAAGCAATAGCAACAAAAGTACAGTTGGCATACTTGTCCTGGTTAAATAGGTCAATGATCAGTGTCCTGCCATTGTCATGGTTGAAGAAGATGAATAGACTCCAATGCATTAGCCATATTCTATTCTGAACTTGATTCAACGGAGTAGAGAAACTCTGCAAGACAAGTGACACTCTTAGTACACTTGGTAAACTGAGGATCATTCAATTTTTCCTACTGGATACTCAAATAGACAGAAAGTCAACTCAACATATGCAAAATATTACCTTTGAGTCAATAATTTCCTTCAAGCGGTTGAGTTCCTCGAGTGCAATATCCCAATTCTGCATTAGTATCTCCGCTGCAAGCTTTCCCCACAATGCACTGACGCTCCTGTCACTGTTTGTGCACAATGCTCGGTACTGGTAAAGATAATCTGCAGCACCAGAGTAGTTTCCACATTCAAACTGGAATTTGGCATATTGATACAATGCCTCTATCTGGTCCGGACCAATCTGGACAGGTTCGTAAAATTAGCTAGAGACCAACTTCTGTTGGTGATCCCTTTAACAAGTATATTATTAATTATATAACAGAAAGTACTAAAGAAGTAGGAACTCTATATCATGTAAACCAACCTAGATCTACGCACCTGGTACCGCTCCTGGAGCAACTGAAGATTGTGCTGTTTGTCAGCTCTCAACTCCTGCACAGCACTGGAATTCTGCAAAAAAGTGATCAATGGGGCTGCAGCTTCCTCAAGTGCTTTCAACCTTGCCACAACCTCAGCTCTCCTCTCCATCATTTCTGAACAGTCAAACAGCAATTATAAAGACAGTGCAGAATTAAACATGTAAAGGAACTCCCAAAATCACTTCTGCTCAAACTAAACTTTTTTAATAACCCAGGAATCCCTGAGGGCAAGTGGCAAATGGTTAGAGACTCTGTACCAACAAATACGTGTACCAACAGCTTATCTAATCTAAGTACACCAAGAAAACTAGGTTTTAATCTCCATACATCGCATGCATAAACTGTAAAGCTCAAACAGAACATCCAGACGACCACGTCAAAATTAACTCCCATACCAAATCAACATCTGATCACACAACTATACAGATTCCCCTAGGGACAACTCCAAAAAAGACCTATGGAGACCACACCAACAGAATTACAACACCCCCACCCAAAAAAAACTTATATGCTAAAAAAGACACCGCTAAGTCTCCGGATTTTTTACTCTTATACCTCAACTGTACAGACATCCCCTCTGAATAAATTATAAACAACTTCTACAGACCATATCCATCAAAATTACAACCACCACCATCATCACCATCCCAAAAAAGAACCCCTTTTGCTAAAAGTGCACAAGCATTAAGACTAGTAAAGCAACAAATCAATTGGCATTCACCAATACGTGGACCCATATGTAAACATACACCAATATGAAGGGAAACAGGAGATACCTTGAAGGACAACAGTTCTACAACTTCTATAGAGACCATATCCATTAAAATTAACAACCCCACCTCACACACACACAAACACAGAAAAAAAAACCTTTATGCTGAAACGGGGATAAGGTATTTCGATCAGTAAGGGCACAAATCAATGGACATTCATATCAAAGGGAAAAAAAGAGATACCTTGACGGACAACACTTAAACAACTTCTCTAGAGACCATATCCATTAACAACCCCCCCACACACTAAAAAACACCTTTATGCTGAAAGGGGCATAAGGTATTTCAATCAGTACGGGCACAAATCAATGGGTATTCACTATTAGAAAGGGGAAAAAGAGATGCCTTGAGGAACAACACATAGACAACTTCTATAGACCATATCTATAAAATTCACAACCCCAACCCCCCAAAAAAGAACCCTTTTTGCTAAAAGAGCACAAGTATTAAGATTAGTAAACAAACAAATCAATTGGAAACACGAAGCGAAAAAAAAAATGATACCTTGAGGTACATCGTCGGTATGATAGAGAGACTTATGAATATCCATAGCATAATCAACCATGTTAGTGTGATTAAGCAGCTCAATCTTCGCCTTGAGTATATATTCATCTGGGTATAGTCCCTGCTCTTGCAAAAACTCCAGTAACGGGAAAATCAAGTGAATGTCCAATTGCTGCGCTATACGTGGCGTCAAGTCGTACTTCGACGCCATGATTGCTGCTGTCGGAAGAGATAGCTACCAGAAAACTCGCCGCTTTGCAGAACCAGATAAACTGAAAAGAGGAGAAGCAGATCGGTAGAAGAAAGATTTCTAGGGTTTTGTTTTTCCTGTAAGTAATAAATAATGTTGAAACTCACCCTTGGGTTTTGAATATTGTTACCTTTAACCCATCTTAAATAGAACTACTTTTCCTTTTTGGTTTTAGTTTTGGTTTTTATGATAAATTTGCTATATCTCGCAATAGTAGTTTGTTTGACAAAATTTATTTATTTTTAAAAAGTGAGGTGTATGACCAAGTTTTGGAGAGAAAAAAAGTGTTATCATAATAATCTTGTTACTTGTTACGCTAACTGTCATCATCATCAGTAATTATTAGCGGTCAATCGACTTCCATCGGACGACCACCACCAATCATTTTTACTATCAAATAACCTTAGTATCTCCAATTGCAACCGTCAACCATTATTATCATTCACTTATACTATGCCACTAACCACCTCCAATAACAGTCTATATCATTTTTACTAATATGTCGTCAATTACTACCTTCATTGTTAACAATTACCATCAACCACTTATAGTCATCACTCACGATCATCATTACTTAACTATCACCATCTTCGTTAACCTTTGGAACATGCTTCATCAAAAACTGCACTCGAATATGTTATTTTTATAACGGAAAAGGGTCATATTTGCCCTTGTACTTTCAGAAAAGAGTTATATTTGCCCTTCGTCATACTTTTTTGACATATTTGCCCATGCCATCCAACTTTAGGCTCATATTATCTAACATATATACATATACAATTCACCTCTCTTGCTCGCCTCTCTCCTGTCTCTCCCAATCTCGCTTGCCATATATACAAATACATATGTATAATATACAATTATCTAACCTATATACATATACAATTCACATTTCTCCAACTCTTTTCCCCCTCTCTCTCTCCTCTCTCCTCCTTATAACATGTAGCTATGAATTGTAATTATCAAACTGTAGCTATGGAGAGTAATTGGGCTATTTTTGAGTGGCTATATGTGAAAGTTTCCCTATATAAAAGGCTTGTCAGGTAGGATGATAAAAGTAAAGACATGAGATTTAACGGTCAAAGGGCAAATATGTGCCTAAAGTTGGATGACAGGGATAAATATATCAAAAAAGTATGACGAAGGGCAAATATAACCCTTTTCTGAAAGTACAAGGGCAAATATGTCCCTTTTCTATTTTTATAATATTCAATTATCATTTTTTTAAATCTATATACTACTCCTAGGAGTAGTTTTAAAATAAAGATAAGTTCCATACATTCATATGCTAAAATAAAAAGAATAAACAACTTATATTAATTAATTTTTTGGTAACTAAATACATTTTATTACCAAAGTAGCAAAGTACAGCTCAAAAAAGAAATATAACACCAGACCTTACTCCAACTCCGCGGACAGGCCTAGTAAATCACTATGCATAAATTTGATAATCAAATTGGAAGACAATATCTTAACAATTGAATGAATATGCATTCAAATCTAATAGCGTTATCATTCTTGTCGTTCTTCCAGCTTTATGTTGTTTTTAATTCATAGGGCTACATTATTCTGAAAAGGCTTATATTGTAATTCAATACCAAATAAACTCCACATAAATAAAGCACAACCCTTTAACCTTAAAATAAAGATATATTAGCCTTTTTGGGTTCCTTAAAATTGATTATTTTTTTTTAAAAATAAATAAAATAAGTCGATCCACAGACTCTTTTAAGTCGTCAACATTATGATTGAATAGTAAACACATCAAAAGAAACACAAAGGATTTAGTTTTGATAATATCCCATTAACTGATGTAAAACACACTAGACTTCTACAAGTCATTCAACTTCACCCTGAAAACTGTTTACAAAAACTAACAGAAGCAAACATCTCTCCTGAAAACAAACGAAAACGAAGCTGGTAAGTCATAGTAAGACCACCCGTAATTGTGAAATTCATATGCCTCGTCTCTAAGCGATCAGGAAAGGCAAAACTGTTAGCATGAAGGACTCATAAGTGAACGTAGCAGAGCCGGAATATGAAGTATCCTTCTCCTTGAATTTCTCAGTAAGCCCCTGCAAAAGAAATGAAAGCGTATGTGAGAAAAGCACCTATCTGAATAAATAGAATGGTATATGAATGCCAGAATAGACGAAGATACTGTAAGCTTACTTTAACAGTGAGGCAGCACCTGCATCAAGCAAAGAAAACGAAAGCACAAAAGGAACAAATTAGCAAAGCATAGAAAAAAAGAGAAGATATAAAGATATGAGAACAATACGAAGAAAGATTTGCATTGATGCAGAAACATACTCGATGAAGTTATCATATTCAATGGCTCTATTCTTTCCACCAGTTTTGTCAAACTTGGAGACCAGCAAATCCAGGATAGAAGGTGATACAGCATATCCCAGGCTAAGTAGTGCGTCCCTCAATTCAGATGAATCAATTTTTCCACTCCTATCCCTGTCAAATCTCTCGAAAATTCCCTGCATTACACAGGAAGTTCCAATCAACTGCCATAGAAAGAAAAAAAAAATTCCAAGAAAAATGGAGAACACAAAGAAGTGCAAAGGTGGCCGTAAAAGATTCTTTAACTTACCCTCCATTCTTGAAGACTGTAAAACACTGAAGTGAATTCTTTGGGGCCTGCTTACAGGGCAGAAAATAGGTCAACAGGTAGAAAAAAGAAAAAGGGAAAGATATATATATGCTCAACAAAGAAAAAAGCTTCATAAAGGTATATCTCCAACTCAAATTCGATCAACATTATTAAATGATGCTCTTGATTAACTTCAAAAACCAAAAACATTTGGAATAAAGAATAAAAGGGAATAGTTCTGCATTCATCTTTCCTCTTGAAAAAACGTAGAGGAAAAAGGAAGTCTAGACTCTAAAGCACACGTTAGCACATAATCATTTACTATCAGATGCTGAAACTAAAATTTCTAAGTAGAATTATCAATATACAAAGTTGCATCTTATGTAGGCAGTTATTTTGCCACCCTAATGGCTCAACACATGTTCTAAAGAGATTCTAACTTCAAATGGAAGGAGAAAGGAAGAGAGGGGAAAAAAGAGAGAAGTATAAATGGAAGTTCGGCCACTATCACCATATTGTCACAGACTTGCTTCTGTTCCTTTCAAAGAGAACTAATAGTACAAGACAGTGTTAAATTAAGCAAGATAATGCTCAATTGAGAACACGACTTCCATAAGTAATAGGAACATCCAATCAGCTTTGTGTAAGATCTCCATGCTGAAAAAATGTTATTTCTCTTTTTATATGGAAACCCCACCCTGAATTCCCCCATCAATGGACCAAGAGGGTCTTTTCACACTTCTCCCCCTTGACGACGTTGGTTCATTACATGGCCAATTCAGAATACGTAAAATGGCCAGGCAGTCATCAACTCAAGGAACATCAAACTCAATAAATTCCACGTAATCCTGGACAAGGACATAAAAAGCAATTCATACAGGAATTTCAATGGCCATACCAAAGCCTTATAGGCCTGTTCTAGGTCATATCATCCTGGCCAACATACCCTTAAGGATGACCCACCAATACAACTATAAGGGGTTGTTTGGTATAAGATATGGGATACACAAAGTTTCTGCCATATATTTATCCGTGGGACTAACTAATACTCCTAAGCGAATGCAGGATAAAATAATCACAGAACTGTTATCCCTCATCCCTCATACCAGCAACCCCTTAAGTCTTAATCAAAATTACTTCTTTATTACAAATAATTACTCCAAATGACCTTTTTCAACCACCCTCAGTCACAAATCAACTGTATACTGCATATAGTTATTAATAATTGTACACAACCTAACATTTTCAGCACGAAATTCATCATCAATTCAATCGTTTTCTACTACTATAGATGGCAAAAATTGAAACATTTCATCAGTGAATTTTGAGCTCAATTATTTGGAATTAAGATTATTACCGATTTTTCTAGTGTTGGTATTGGTGAAGAGATACATAAGCAGATGAACAGTCCTCAAGCTGAAGCTCTGATTATACGAAGAAAGCGCCTTCTGCAGCTCCTTATCATCAATTAGCCCACTCCCATCCTGATCCGCGAGCTGGAAACATGCTATAACATTCGGATCGGTTCCCGGTGGAAAAGCAGAGGGCACGAGAGATGCAAAAGGGCTACTAGCTCCATAAGGCCCAGCAGGAGGTGGCGCGTGGTATCCACCATAAGGAGCAGACGGTTGTGAATGGCTATCCTTCGGTGGTTTGTTCGGATCACCGTAAGGAGCCGAAGGAGGTGGGGCAGGGTACCCTGCTCCTGCCCCACCGTAAGGCGATGAAGACTGTGGTTTATTCTCTTTTGGGGGTTTATGCGGATCACCGTAAGGCGGTGCTCCGGCGCCGTAGGGAGACGGAACGGGAGCGTAAGGGGAGTGAGATTGAGGAGGTGGAGCACCGTAGGGTGATGATGAATGCGGTGGTGGAGCACCGTAAGGTGATGGTGAAGCACCGTAGGGTGATGATGAAGACGGTGGTGGAGCACCATAAGGTGAGGCTGAAGACGGCGGTGGAGCGCCGTATGGGGTGGAGGAGTACGGCTGAGATGACGGTGGCTGGCCGTAACCGTAGCCGGGAACATTGTGCTGGTAACCGGACATTTTTGGAAAAGTAGAGAGAGAAAATTAAAAAGATAATTTTTTGTAAATTAGAAAAAAATAATATAAAATCTGTGGTTTTATAGATAGACAAATCATATAAATTAGAAATATTTGAAAGGTCCTGGAATTGGGTATTATTTACGCGGTTGCCACTTCTCTTCTTCGATAAGTTACCGCGGATTTTGCAAATCCAAAGACTACACAAAACAATACTATTCCCTCCGTTTCACAAAGAATGACCTGATTTGACTTGGCACGGAGATTAAGTAAATAAAGAAGATTTTTGAATCTTGTGGTCCTAAAGTAAAGTTATGTCAAATGTACAAAATTGCCCTTAATCTTGTGGTCTTAAACATGTCACGTGGAAAGCAAAAAGTAAAATGTTACCAAAAAAGGAAAGAGGTCATTCTTTTTGAAACTGACTAAAAAAGAAATGAGGTCAT